TGTTGCTGCTGCTGGTGGTGGTGGTGTTGGTGTTGGTGTTTATGTTTATGTTGTCGTTGTCGTTGCGGTTGTTGTCGTCGTCGTCGATGTTGCTGTTGTTTTTGACAGTTTTTCGAAGCGTATATGTTTAAGAAGGGGTTTCAAGGGTTTAAAGCCTGGGTGTCTTAGCCATGTTCCCCTGGGGTGATGCGATGCAGAGTTTCATGGAGACGCCTCCACTTTTCAGGCAACGCTGCTCCTCATGATGAATGACATGAGTGATCTTGAGCTCTATAAGCGGGTTCAGGGTGTTTGGGGGTTTGGGGGTTCAGGGCGAGCCTTTATAGTCCATATTCAAGTCTAGATCATACCCAAAACACCATTCTAATTGCTGCGGCCTCCATGTTAGCTTGTAGCCGCAGACGAGAAGAATATTAGCAAATACGATATACGGTCCCACTCCCCAAAACGTGTAACTGCCAGACCATCCAAGAAGAAACAGGCAACGACCCTTCAAGCTAATGGGGTATGAACCCACCGTAACCTCCCAACGCTCTGCCCCAGGATTATATCGGGCCTTTGTTCTACATCAGCACTACATATAGGGCTTTAGGACAGCGCTGTAGTACAAGGGATTCAGGCTCCCTAGGTTTGAACTGAAGAGGTATCGCGTCGTTCTTGCCATACGAAGGCAGCCAGAGCCAAAACCCAATGACCCTACCTGTAGTCTCCATTGTGGTTCGTTTTTGGGGATACCTTATAAACTCCTTAATATATAATTGGTTAAACCAAAAAAAGGAACTACAATGGAGACTATAGGTACACTCTAAACCAAAACCCTAAACCCTAAACCCTAAACCCACCAAAAAGCCTGTCCCCCCTGGCCCCTACATCGCTTTGCCCCGAGATAGCGCAGGTTTTTCCTGAGAAGGCTTCTGCGCGTGCCGCGCGCCTACCAAGACTGAAACCAGGGCTTGCCGGGTTGAGGGTTTAGGGGTTTAGGGTTTAGGGTTTTGCGATGTTCTTGGGTTCGGGCCTTGTAAGGTGTGAGGCGTTTTGTTGTTTTTGTGTTTCAGATGTTGTGGACTTTGAAGTCGTTTAAGAAAGTTCCACGTCCAAGCTGCGTCGGCATTCACTTCGATGACTTAGAGGTATATGGGACTTCGTACTTAAGCAGGGGTCTATGTAAGCTATAGAAGTATTGAGTTAAGTTTTCAGTAAATGTGGATACCTCACCCATAGGCACCACTGTAGTTCCTTTTGGGGGTTTAGATTTGGAGCCCTATAAAGTAGCCCCAAAGAAAAATAGAACCCTGTAAAGTGGCCCCAAAGAAGAACTACAATGGAGCCCATGGGGATGTATAGCTCTAGCTACACTAAGTCCGAAGGATCCTTTGAGTGGTCCGAAGCCAAAGGGTTAGGTGTCAGGTGAAGGGCCTAGGGCTTTAGGGTTGAAAGCCTTCGGGTTTAGGGGTTTAGGGTTTAGGGCTTATAGGGGTTAGGGCTTAAGGGGTTTAGGGTTTAGGGGTTTAGGGGTTAGGGTGTATAGGGCTTAGGTTTCAGGCTTTAGGGGTGAGGGGGGCGGGAGTTTCGGGCCTTTTACACCACATTCAGGAGCGCCCAGCGTCTAGAACCGAGACATTCCAAACCCAAAATCCACCCTTGAACCCTAAGCCCCTAAACCCTAAGCCTAAACCCTGAACTTCAGTGCTTCCTTGCATGTGGTGTCTTGCCAACCTCAGGCTGTGTCTTAGAAGGTATCGCCCGTCTTGGTGTCTGTATGACTTCGACGGCTCCCAGAGGCCTCGAGTAAGGAGTAAGGATAGTCTTCCCGAGGGGCCTCTGCAGGGCTTAAAGTACAGATTGCTTTCATCATTCCTTGGGTTAAACCCTAAACCCCTAAACCCAAAACCCCTATAACCCCTGAACTCTAAACCCCTAAACCCTAAACCCCTAAACCCGGTAAGCCCCGAAACCTAAGCCCTAACCCCAAAAAACCCTAAAAGCTTCTACGGCACAGCGGCTGGCCACCGCCGGCCCCCGGCTGAAGGCGCAGCGCAGGTCCCGTTGCGCAGCCCAGCACAGCGCTGGGCAAATTGGTTTAGGGTATAGAGAAGTGGCAAAATATAGGGGACCTAGTGAGTAGAACAGGGTTTTGGGGGCTCCTCATTACAACTATAGTATAAACTGCTCCAAACCCTACTCTAATTATTAAGGCCTCTAAATAAACTGGAGGGACGGCGCCAGGCGTCCAATGCGCCGTCACGGCATTTCACAGCAGCTGCTCCGTGCTGTGGCTGGCCAAATCACAAGATGTGATTAGAATTGCCCCGCCCTGCAACAAGCCGCTGAATGCGCCGATCGAGCGGGACACTCACTCCTTCAATAGATGCTCGAAGTGCAAAGAATGCTCACATGCGCGCACCCTAATCTGCTCTATGAGCCTTAGACCCCCTTGTGGACCCTGAGAGCTCTAATAGACCCTAAGCCCCGTTAAAACCCTACGCATCCTTGCAAACCATACCTATGGTCCTCTGTAATCTTCATTGTACTTTCTTTTTAAGGTTGCCTTATCATAGAATCCTAGGTACTTACCTGGTTTAACCCAAAAATGGAACCACACTGGACCTGCAGTCTCCATTGTAGTTCCTTTTGGGGACAACTCATAAATTCCTTAATATATAATTGGTGAAGCCAAAAAAGGAACTACAATGGAGACTATAGGGAGTATGTAGGTATACCCTATAAGCCTTTGATGGACCCCAGGCCCGGCGAGGGGCACCGCTGGTGATCTCCGCCGCAGTCAGCGCCGCGGCGCAGCGATGCCGACAGCAGCGACGTAGTGTCAGCAGGGATTCCAAGATCCACCTCGAAAGCTGGTTTGAGGTTTAGGGTGGTCCGAAGTGGGGGATGTTGTTGTATGTTGAGTTCAGGTTTTGGTTTCTGGTGTGTTGTTTATTTCTAATTATTCATGCGTGTTGTGCTTTTTTGGTGAGGGGTGGTAAGCTTGGTTTTCGGTTTTTGTTGGTGAGTTTGGGTGTGGACACAGGTCCTTTGAAAGATCGGCTTCAGCCAGACATGATCTTCAGTTGAAGCAGGCTGTGGGTTTGTCTTACTGCTCTGGAGAATTTATGACGGGGCCCCTTATTAGGGGGTATATGATGGGGATGTACTAGTAAAAAGCCCAACTGGACAAATTGCAGCCGCCTGTTACCGAACAGTTAGGTATAGTCGGGCTTGAGAGAGCCCTGGTTTGGCTCCCGTTCTTGATAAGTCGATACTGGAGCCCGTTGGTTCGTGATCGCAGGACCCTAGCTGTACCTTGAACCCTACATGGGTTTTGGGTTTAGGGTTTGGGGGTTAGGGTTTAGGGTCAACGAAGTAAGGATGCAAGCACATCGAAGGGGAACAAGAGGTCCCAGCACCCGCTTTCGTATTTTCCTGAGACTCCCAATACGCTGCCAGCAACATCATGCATGTTTTGGGGCCAAACAGCAGACAAAACACACAAACTCTGACCCATTGAACCTGCCCTTTTATGGGCTGTCACCTTGCATGGCTTTTGTTATGTGTAATTAGGTGCTTGTTTGCACAATATGCAGCAGGCTGTGTAGATTATACCCGTACCATACCCAAAACTGTCTCATGATGCTATTAACCTAAACCTTACCTATAGTCTCCATTGTAGTTCTTTTTTTGTTTTAACCGATTACATATCAAGGATTTTATAAGGGATCCCCAGAACAAGAATCATAATGGAGACTATATATAGGTAACCCTTAAACTCCTAGCCTTTCTTCCCCAAACCCTAAACCCTGAACCCTCAACCCCTAACCTTGAACTCCTAACCCGTGCAATTTAGGGGCCTAAATATTAAATAAGTACCTATGTTATTTTGGGGGTTCCTTATTGTAACTATAGTATAATGGGCCCCAAAACCCTACTCTAATTATTATGGCTCCTACAGTAAGCCCTGAGCCCAGACCAAACCCTAACTCCGAACAACCCCCCGGCCTGGTTTGCGAGACTCTCCCTGTGGATCCAGCTGATATACTTGGAGGCCCAGGGGACTTAGTAAGTAGGTTATAAGTAGAGTTATAAGTACCCTAAATGGAGTTACCCCAATTATAACCCTACTTATAACCGACTTACTAAGTCCCCTGGGCCTCCAAGTTGAGGAGA